GGCTGCGAAATAATTACAAATGTCATTTGTTGTAGAAGAAATGTAGTACACACGGCTTCACATCAAATTATACATAACCAGATTATGAAGATCTCGCTTTGTATTACCTTTCCACACGTTCAACGGTCAGTTTATATTGGTTATTTATAGCTAGCATGCATAGATTGATTAGGAATAAATATTATAGCCTCTGGGTAGGCGGGAGACAGATTGTATTGATACATCAATGTCCAAATCAAGAACCATTTAGATTGTGCAAATATTGAATTTTAACGTCTAATTGGTGTTGATTTTGTAATTACATACGAAAGGATAGATAGAGGTTCTTCACCAACAGTTTGATGTTGTAATAGTTTTTTGGAAAACATTCGGTAGACCTAAGGTTATTAGTGTGGGAGAGCCATACTTCGGCACGAATGAGCCAACTCGACCGGAGTGATACCACGGCCTCACGGAAAACCGACGTGAAGCAGCATAAGCTTGCGTTGTATTTCGTCGTGTGAGTGAGGTTACAGGAGGCCCAATTACCCTCCCCTTCCCCAGTCTCATCAATCCTGAATCCCCAACGATCCTCAAACTCCTAATCCCCAAAAGGCCGGTAACGGACTTGTAACGCCTCTGGTGTTCCAGGTGTCCATGGGCGACGCCGATTTCTTACCATCAGGTGATCCGTCTGCTCGTTTACCGGCTTATGTCATAAAAATAGGTCTTTTGTTTAGCAGTAGGCCTTACATCTACTCGATCAAGGGAGTGTAGGACCATTGTTAACAGAATTAGTTTCTATTGGGCTAGGTATTTTCTATTAACAACACAAATAGGTACTGTTATTTGTAAGCCGAATACACAGGTTGAATTTCAGCATGACTCTAAAGTGAATGACTGCACTACTGCAGTAAGTATGAGCCATTAGGAAAGCATTTTCACTTTGACTCATCGAAAACAGACACAAAGTAAATACAACACAACCTCAGAGATAACTATTCCAAAGAGGGTCAACCAAACCTCACCTCATTTAAGAACAACCAACATAATAATTGTTAATTGGCAACACCAACATTGCACTAAGCACTGAGCTTACGTAAGTGTGACCAGTAACTTCCAAAAATAGACGGCAAGGGATCAGATTTTTTTGAACAATATCGCTATAATTAACCATTTTGTGGTGACTTGCGGATAACAAATAAATACTTTTTATGGTTTATTTGTTTTTCTTCATCTTCTCTTAATTTAGCTAATAAGTTAATGTTATTGTCGTTTATTTCTGTTTGGTGATGAGATCATGGAAGTGTAATGTCCGTATTAGGGTTTATAGACATTGATTTGTATTGTCTAAAGTTTGTTGGACTTAGTTGATATATTATCTTCTTGACTAAAACACAGTTTTAAAATATTTAGACAGTTTGATTCCCAATGTTTATAGGTTTATCTGCACCCACGTTTAATAGATTTGACAAAAAGTCTTGCAACTATTTTGCAACTGTTTTTATAATAACTATCGTGAGACATACTGAATTAACTAAAAATCGCGGGTTACTCACGTGAAAATATTGATAAAAGCTCTACTAGTTTTGACCCACAGAGGGGTTCTTCCTCATAAGCAGAGTGCGCGGTCGCGGCGATGTCGCGCAGCCTACTTTATAGTATAATTTTGCAATTGCGCATTTTAAACTAGGTTGGAGTAAAAATATATTTTAACACCTAGTACTGTAATAAATTATCTTCAAGGAACAACATAAATTTTGAAGATGGTGCTAATATTCGTATCTGCCCTGTGTTAAAAATTAAATTAAGTACTTTTATCTTCCAAACACATGAGGGATGAAAAACAAATTCGATATTACAATAAGCTCAATTGGACACGCGAGTATGCGGTCACAATATGTTGGATCACAGGTGGACGCTACTGCCTATCCCCTTGTGAGTAATCCCTTGCGCTTCTCACAGAACACCCCAGGGAAGCGAGGCTGGTTAAATATATAATTGGACACCACTGCGGAAGACAAGTGGGGCATGATTGAAATGGGTATTTTTACAGATATGCAATTTGATTTGGTTGATCCAAATATAAAAAACAGAGTTGGACCTTGAGTATACACCGTTGTAGGTTTCGTTCTAACTAAAAGGTATGGTAACACAAATTGGGTTCTTAATGATGGTAGATTTTTTATAAACATTTTGAAATACAGAAAAGATTGTAATATCAAACTATAACTGAAGTAGTATATGGGAGATTAGAGTACAGTTAGTCTTGGATCTTAGACCCTTAATTTCTGATTGTAACGAACTTAGGTTCAGGTCTTACAGTACTAACCGCAGAATACATTTATATTTTGCTCTAATTCAAATCCACCCTGTATTTATCTACCGTAGCCCGAGCTTCATCTAAGCACACATCACTTTTTAATATCTACTCAAGTACGAAATATCTATCATCAATGCTCACCCAATTACCAGAGGAAGCACCTTTAAACTGAGACGCTGAATGTAAGTAATTGGCCCGACGCAAATTGATATTGTGCAAAAACCTCATACTTGTCACGTGTAGCGTCTGCGGGCATCGGATGACAGTGTTATGTTAGGGTTGATAATATGCATACAATTGTAATGGTTCTGTTTGTCTTGAAGATACGAGAACTGATCGTGATATTTCCAACTGGTAACAAGCAACTGTTGTGTAATAGCAACAAGTAAAATAAGTGAAGCGAGTGAATTTATTTCTGCAAATAGGTTTTACACGTCAATTTTATCAAGCGAACGATGAACACCAGAATTTTACAATTGTGTGTTGTTTTAATGAAGAGGTTTCGAGACGTGACAATTTATTCTGACAGACAAAATCAATGAGGAGATATTATAATACAGTTGCGTTGATTTTCATCTTTTCAAAACAAAAGAGTTTCTGGCTACATTCATATTTTAAAAATATAATGAAAGTATGACGTTTCGAAGTTACGTCGGATTTTGATAAGGAACAATACGTTTTGTAACAATATTGTTCCAGATATACACAATACTTGGTGACGATGACGTCAAACAACATTTCAATATGACCCATATTTTTCTTAATTTTGTTACAACAAATTACAATGTAATTTGAAAATAACCCTTTATGTAATAGCTGACGCAAATAGTTCGTAAGCGGCTATTCTTTCCAAATTTTTCGCAACCCTAAAATGAGACCAACCCCTCTGCGTCACGGGCAGTCGTCGTTATGCGTACTACGTAATCCGCATTATATCCAAATAGCCTATAGCGTTCAGCTGCTAACGACACAGATGTCCCGCGCAAATTAATTGGAAATGTCAAGTGCACGAGACCCGACGCCATCTTGTCCCCCCCTCATTCTTTTTATTTTTTTGTCGCGCACGTGGCTTTATTGCGAGACAGCTGGGCGAGAGTGCGTTAATACGCACTTCACGTTAGCAACAGTCGCGCATTGTCCGGACTTAAATATTACGCCGATATCTGCACATCTTAACTAATAGTAGGTTATAAATTGAAAAATTATGTCCACGTTTATTATTCTTAAATTAATGAGTTCTAGAGTAAAAATTCTCTATTTTCACGTTGAATATCATAACATTGTCCTTTAATTTCTTTCGAAAATGACAATGACATTTGACATTTGCGCGGGAAGGTGCGTTCGCAAGTTAGAGCTGCGTTTGGTTAATGCAAAGATAATGGGCTGACCTATTTAATGGTATAATTAAATATCGCCGTCTGTTTCCGGCAATTAGATCGAAAGCGATCACTGTTGAATTCCTTTGTTATATTAAAAAATATATTTTGCTCCTTCCGAACACCTTTACACACGAATTTGAGCACCTGATGCATTTCGTTCGCAGCTGATGATCCCAAAGCCACGATATTACAACACCTTGACTTTTCGTTACGGAATTTCCTCCCCTTAATTACATTTTATATGTTTTGGCCAGTTGTCTACGAATATCTGCGGAGTCCGTGTATCAATTTCTTATTTTTTATTGTGAGTAATGTAGCGAAAGCACGCGACTTGGGTCTGGGTGGACATTTATACAAATAAAGAGTACGGGAGACTTGTTAACTGCACCTATCTATATTATTGTACTCACATGTTATGTAGAATGAAAACATTTATAACAGAATAGCAATGTAACTATCAAACCAATTTTTATTTAGCGCTTTAGTTATTAATATTAAGTTATTTTTGTGACAAGCGTTGTGCAACCGTTTTTCTCTTTACATGTTAAAGTTAATTTTGCTAGGTTATCTACACTATTTGTACCCACATTAAACTGTCAAACACCAAGCGGTCACCGGTGACCGAAACCTACTGTTCTATAATTGTGTCTGTAATGACGGTACTTGACGATTTACATACCTACATATTTTTGTATTATAACATTAC